TCTCTCTCTCTCTCTCTCTCTCTCTCTCTCTCTCTCTCTCTCTCCCTCCCTCCCTCTCTCCTTCTCTCTCTCTTTCTCCACATCTTTCTTCCACACACACAAACACACACATCTTTCCCCTCTCTCTCTTTCTCCCCTCCCCCCCTCTCTCTCTCTTCCACTCTCTTCCTACCCGTCCCTCTCTACTTCTCCCCCCCTCCCCTCTCTTTCTTCCACTCTCTTCCTACCCATCCCTCTCTCCTCCCCCCTCCCTCCCCTCGTCTCCCCCCTGCACTCTTTTCCCCCCTCATGCCTCCGTCTCTGAAATTGTCTAGGGATATGACTTCTTCAGTAGCCAGCAGGTAACAGATGACCAGTTGCAGCAGCAGGGAACAGGGCGTCAGCAGGGGATATCAGCAGGGGAGGGGGTTGTAAGAGCAGGGAGAGAGGGCGGGGAAAGAGAGAGCGGGAGGAGGCTTGTGGTAAGAGCAGTTGTAGTTGTAGTAGTAGTATTGGTGGTAGTAGTAGTAATGGTAGTAGTAGAGTAGTTGTGGTAGTTGTAGTAGTAGTATTGGTAGTAGTAGTAGTAGTAGTAGAATAGTTGTGGTAGTTGTAGTAGTAGTATTGGTAGTAGCAGTAGTAGTAGTGGTATCAGTTGCAGTAGTATTAGTATTAATATTAGTAATAGTTGTAGTAATATTAGTATTAATATTAGTAGTAGTAGTAGGAGGAAGAGAAATGGTAGTAACAACGATAGTCCTAGGTAATCGTAGCAGTAGCAGACGGAGGAGTAGGAAGTGGTGGTAGTGAAAGTAGTAGTTGCCGTAGTTGTAGTAGTAATGTTTGCGGTAGTAGTACTGCTGGTCGTACTAGCGTTAAATTTAGTAGTAGTAGTTGTAGTAATGGTAGTATAACTATCATTAATAGTAATAGTAGTAATGATATTAGTAGTAGTGGTAGTAGTAGTAATTGTATCAGCTGCAGTAAACGCATTATTGTCAATTGGTTGTAGTAATTTTAATACTATAAATAGTAGTGGTAGTTATAACAGGATCGGTTTAAAATGAAGGGGAAGGAGAGCGGCGAGGGGGGGGGGGCATAGAGGATGGGCAGGATAGGGGAGAGGGGAAGGGGAGGGAGTGGGGAAGCGTAAGGGAAGAGGAAGAAAGGAGAAGAGAGGAAGATGGAAGAGGAGGAGAGGGGAAGAGGAGAGAGGGGGAAGAGGAGAGAGGAGGGAAAGAGGAGAGAGGAGGGAAGAGAGAGAGGGGGAAGAGGAGATAGGGGGAAGAGGAAGAGGGGAAGAGGAGAGAGGGGGAAGAGGAGAGAGAGGGAAAGGAGAGAGGAGAAGAGAATAGGGGAAGAGGAGAAGGAGGGGGAAGAGGAGAGAGGAGAAGAGGAGAGATGAGAAAGAATAGGGGCAAGGAGAGGGGAATAGGAGAGAGGGTGAAGAGGAGATTAGGGGGAAGAGGAGAGAGGGGGAAGAGGAGAGAAGAGGAAGAGGGATGTTTTTAGGGGTAAGAGGAAGAGAGGGGGACGAGAACAGATGGGGAAGAGGAGAGAGGGGGAAGAGGAGAGAGGGGGAAAGCAAGAGGGGAAAGGAAGAGGGGGAGGAGGAGCGACGGGGGACGAGGAGCGCGGGGGCCCATCGGCTCCGGGTCACACCTGCGTCTCGTGTCTCTGGTGCCGCGGCGCCCGCGGTTTGCCGCTGGCTGCTCGTTGCCGCGTCTCTCTGGTTCACTTCTCGCTCGGGGGTCCGCGTAGCCTTGGGCCGCTGCTCCTTGTTCCGCGGCGCTCGGAGGGCGGCTTCCTCTGTGGGCCGCTTTCGCGCGGGGGCGGCGTATCGCCTCGGTTGCCTCGCCGCGTCGGCCGCGGCGCGCTGTCTGCCGCTTCCACGGGTTCCTTCTGCCCTCTCGGTGTCCGCCGTCGCGCGGGGGCCTCGTCGCGCGGGTCCCTGCGCGCTTTGTGCCTCTGCCGCGCGGGGTCCCGTTTCTCTCTCTTGTTCCTCGTCCGCTGCTCCTCGCCCATAAAGGTCGTGCCGGAAGCGGGGCCTGCCCCGTGTCCCCGGCGCCGCTCTTGGGGGGTGGGGCGTTGGCCCCCCGGGGGGGGGGCGGTTCGCAGGGTCCGGCTGGGGGGGTCGTTCCTCGCCTCGAAAGGCGGCCCCACCCGGCCGCCAGCCAGCGTCGGTACGGAGTTGGCACGCTCCCGCTGAGGTGCCCAGACCCCCTTCCCGCGTAAGGCAGATGCACTTGCCGAGGATAACACGCTTTCGCTTTTTTCCCTTCTCTCCCCTCCCCCCCTCAAATTCTTCCCTTCTCCCCCCCGCTTTCATCACCTACCTCCCCTCTCTAGTCACAAATCCCTCCCCTTCACTCTCATCTCCGCTCCACCCGTCCCTGCCCCAACCTCCAGCCCCCCCCCCCCCCCAAAATCCCTCCCCCATTCCCTCCCCGCCCCTTCATATGCAAACCACCCCTCTCCTGTCATAATATCTCAGCTCCCCCCTAGGGCTTTACAAATCCTCCCCTCTCCCCTCATATACCTCTCCTCCCCCCCCCCTCATATCCCCCCCTCTCCCCCTCATCATATCCTCCCCCCTCTCCCCCTCACTCCGCCCCTCCCCCCCCCTCGATAATCTCCCTCCCCTCTCCCCCTCATATCTTCCCCCTCTCCGACCCTCATATCCTCCCCTCTCCCCCCGCTCATATCCTTCCCCTCCCCCTCACCTATCCACGCCCCCCCCCTCCACCACATATCCTCTCCCTCCCCTCTCTTCACCCCTCATACCTTCCCCTCATCCCCTCCATATCCTCCCCTCTCCCCCCCTCATATCCTCGGGCCCTCTCCCCCCTCTATCTCCGCTCACCCCCATCATATCCTCCCCCTCTCCCCCTCATATCCTCCCCCCCTCCTCCCCTCATATCCTCCCCTCCTACCCCCCCTCATACCTCCCCCCTCTCCCCCTCATATTTCCCACCCCTTCTCCCCCCTCATATCCTCCACCTCTCCCCCCTCATATCCCAGCCCTCTCCCCCTCATAAATTCCTCCTCCCCCCCGCATATTCCCTTCCCCCTCTCCCCCCCCTCCTATCCTCCCTCTCTCCCCCCTCATACCTCCCCTCACCCCCCTCATATCCTCCCCTCTCCCCCTATATCCTCCCCCCTCCTCCCTCATATCCTCCCCACCTCTCCCCCCTCATACCTCCCTCTCCCCTCATATCCCTCCCCTCTCCCCCTCAATCCTCCCCCCCTCTCCCCCCTCCATATCCCTCCCCTCTCCTCCCCTCATACCCTCCCCTCACCCCCCATATCCTCCCCCCCTCCTCCCTCATATCCTCCCCTCTTCCCCCCTCATACCTCCCCTCTTTTCCCGTCTCATATCCCTCCCCCCTCCCTCCCTCATACCCTCCCCTCTCCCCCCCTCAATCCTCCCCTCCCCCCCCCTCATTATCCTCCCCGATTCTTCTCTTCCTTCCTGCTGTCATCCCTCCCCCCCCATACTAACCCCCCTCCTGGCGAAACCCTCTCCCCTAACTCCCTTGCTGAGACCCCCCCCCCCATTCCTCCCCCCCCTACTGCCTTGGGAATAGGAGGAAGGGGTGGGAGCCTGGGGGGGGGGGAAAGGGGCTGGAGGGTGGGAGTGTTTCAGTTCCCTTCGCTGTTAACATGAGCGATTAACATGTTAAAATCCGTATAGAGTGCGTGCGCATAGGCGCGCCGGCGTGTTTGTCCATCTGCATATATCCACAAATAAACAAAGACCTTACAAGCAGCTCACAACACACATGCATATACAATAACATCGATATATACATTTTTTTTTTTCATGCCACACACACACACACGACACACAAACACACACACATACACACACACAACTCACACACACACACTACACACAACAAATCCACAAACACACACACATAGAGAGGATTTCCCACATACACTTTCACATATCTCCCTTCCACGACACACACATACCCTCATACCTCCCTCCCCCCCCCTCCTTCTCCCACCCACACACACACACACGACACACACACACAGAAGTGCCCCTCCCGCCTCCCTCCCCCATCCTTCACGGAGACCATGCTTATGTTAAAACCGACCGCCCACACACGCCGGCTTCAAGTTCTTGCTTCTAACCCCGCCCTCGTCGGGGCCACGCCCCCTCGCTCCTGCCCCAACCGTGCAACCACCTCTTTCCAGTCAACGAAGACCTGCAGTCACTGATCAATCCACACTCATTCAAACCAAGCACGAGAAGGCCAATCAACCATGTAACTTCCAAAACTACAAACCATACAACCACAAAACCAGCGAAAACGACAAACAAAACCAACCAAACGACTCAAAAACAACCAATATGTTAAAACTGACAATCAACCAAAAGCAAAACCGCATTTTCCTCAACCAAACAACTGAAACAAACCACTCTACTAAAAACGGACAAAACAACTGAACAACCACCTATAAACCGGACAAGACAACTGAAACAACCACTCTACTAAGCGGGACAAACAACTGAAACAACCACTCTACTAAAACGGTACAAACAACCAAGCAAACCACAACCAAGGAAAACACAAAACCTCGCACCCAAACGGCTCAAACAACCACTTCTAAACCAAAACGGGGGGATACCCAACCATAACACCCATTCGCAAAACCCGTGAATTTTAAATGTTTAAATATCTTTATTTCTTTCTCTTTTTCTGTGAAGGAAATGCAGAGAAATGTATCGTATTGTATTGCATTATTCAAGTTGTGATGTATTTTCTAAGAAAGTTGGTGGGTGGTGCCCATGTACTTTTTTTTTCTTTTTTTTTTTTTTTTCTCCGTAGACTGTTTAAATTTACTGGTGAAGAAAGTACGGTAACTATCTAAATGGTCATGGATGATAGGGGAAGGGATGGGAAGGCTTGTCATGTTGACTGTTGCATTTGCTGATTCCTGTTGGATTATGCTGAGCTTAAGCTGTATGCTAACCCAAGAAGGAGAATCAGTTTCATAACCGTTATGAGATGCTTGTAGGTGAAGCAGGATCAAATTATATTCAGTAAAGGAATAAGCATATATCATAAGTGAAGCATAATCATAAGAGTATAAGTCAGATCACTTAGCATAACCCATAAGTAGTAATCATTAAGCTTTGAATTATAAATCAGAATCATATTCATAACATAAGGATAACCAGAATCATTATCATAATCATAATTCATAAACCCCCCCCCATGCATAGACCAATAATTATAATCAGGAGCAGTATCATGAAGCCATTACATGAAAGCAGAAAGCATAACTCATAATCTGAATCAGTAAAGCATCATCCTAAGCTGAAGCATAATTCATATCTTTAAATCAGAAGCATAAGGATAAGCATAATCATATTTAGATCAGAAGCATAATGAGAACATAAGCATAATTTTTATCAGATCAGAATCATAACATAACCATAATTATAACCGAGAATCAGTCAGTCATAATCAGAATCATATCCAATAATTAGGAATCATAATCAGAAGCGAGAAGCTTACCAAATCAGAAGAGACCATAATCAAGATATCAGAACCATCATCCGATAGGCAGAAGCATAATCCCATCTGCTTTAATTATGAATCATAAGCTATGAATATGAAGCTGGTAAGCATAATTTTAAAGCATAATTCAGAAGTAGAATCATAAATCCCATAACCTTAATGTGAACGCGCAGTAATTGAAAGGCCAAAGCTGTAGATATCTATCTCTGTAGCATGAATCTTAATCGAGAACCTGTATGTAGAAGCTGAAATCTGTATCTGTAATCAGAACCTGAATCAGTAAGCAGTAACCAGAAGCAGATATCTAAATCATAATCATACCAGAACCATCAACGTTTAACCAGAATTCATAAGCAATATATCTGTCCGCAGGTCAGCGTAAGCTCTAGCTGAGGAAGAGCATGAACCAGTCCCCAGATCTCCTTGAGACGCTCCAGCCTGATGCAGTTCTGAGCTGAATCAGTATAGTTTAACGCTGCGAGCCGAAGCTGAAGCAGTATGCTTGATATCAGAAAGCAGTAGCGGTAAGTATAAATCATAAGCAATTGAAGGTATAGATCATAAGCTGTGTAGAAATCAGAAGCAAATTATAAGCTTAGCAGTAATCATAAGCTTAACCCTTATTTAATATCCATAAAGCATAATCTTTGATGCAGAAGCCAGGAAATCATAAGCATTAAGCAGAAGCAAACTCATAATCAGAAGCAGTACCTGACCCTTATTGCAGAGATCCATCATCCGTATGAATAGCTTAAGCTGAAGCAGAAGAGAAGCGCAGATTCAGTGAGTGAGTAATCTTAAGGGTCGAGTAATCAGATGCTGAAGTTTAAGTGCTGGTAAGCATAATGATAATCATAAGCAGAAGCAGGAAGCTGAACCAGAAGTGTTGAACCGATAATCAGAAGTCATAGCAGGAAGTCAGTAATGATAAACCTTAAGTTAGTAACATTAATCAATAAAGTCATAATCAGTAACCAATAATCATTAAGCTGTGAACCATAATCTTAATGCATAAGTCAGAATCATACTCAATATCATCTTCTAGTAACCATAAGCATGTAGTCCATGCATTCATCATCAGGCATCTGGGGTAAGCACAATCCAGAAGCAGCACCGATCCCACATACCCGAACCTCCACCATAAAGCAGAATCGATTCTGTAGTTCATTAGTCAGGAAGCAGATGTTGTTTCCAGTATCTGATGGTGATAATCAGTAGCATAATTAGAAGCCATAAGCTGTAGTTGGAAGCATAATCAAGTTGCAGATCCTGAAGTGAACCATAATCAGGGAAGTGGAGAATCAGTATGCAGAAGCAGAATCATAACCAGGAAGCATATTCAGAACCATAAGCTTTTTTCATAACAAGCTGCCTAGCCAATAAGCATATCTTGATGCAGTTGCTGATGCAGTAGCATAATCTTATTGATAAGCATATATGGGCAGGGAATGTTAAATGCATGAATAGTAGATGGGGTGTAGAAGCATGTATCAGATAGGAGATCTATTAATCTGAAGCATAATCATTACAAGATGATAACCAGAATCATAATCAGAGATCAGAATCATAAGTCATGATGCTTATGTCCTAAACAGAATGAGTTATCTTAAATCTTAAGCATATTCATGAACGCGATAATCATAAGCAGTAAGCCGATATAAGCAATGCGGTAATCATAATCTGAAGTAAGTGGAAATGCATAACCAAGACCGATTACCAGAAGCAGAAAGCATTATCAGCTGCATTCATCTTGTATGCATCAATGCAGAAAATCTGAACCTGCCCCAGTCGCCTTTTCCCCGCACCTGTATCGCTGCTGCCTTTGCCGAAGTCTTGTATCTTTAGCCAATATGCTGATTCCCCATCCACGCAACCTCCCCCATCCGGCCGCCCACTCCAACCCCTTACCCCCGCCCCCCACCCGTGCCCGCGACCCCCGCCCCCCCCCCACCCCACCCCCGTACGACAACCAGCCCCACACCCCCCCTCGCCACGTCAAATTCGCCCTCCCCTGCCCCTTTGGAGCCCTCTCCCACTATGGATCACTGCTCCGCATTAGCCGACATGCCCGCGGCTTGTACTTGCAGAGTTTCCGAGAGTAAAGTTTCCTCCCGCTCTCTAGGCGGAATTTAGCGCAAGCACACACAGAAATATACGAACGGACATCCGCACAGACCACGTCCACAGAGACGGCCAGCATGTATATAAAAACTGGAACACTAGCACAAATAGTTTACCTAGACACCCATAGACCCAATTCACAAACACAGACACAAAACCACGTACAGAAAATCGTGTGCGCAACCAAACAAACCACAGCTATAAGATATGCCCACACAAGCATAAACACCCACCCACACACAACACACCACACACACAACCCACACCCACACACACACCACATATAAATATATATATAGTATATAATCTAGTTATAAATCTATATATATTATATAGAATATAACTGTATATATATATATATATTTATATATATTATATATCTATAATCACTATCTATATATAAAAATTATATCTGTATATATATCTATATATAACTATCTATATATCTATAATATCTAAAAAGATATATATATCTACATATAACATAATCTATATATATGTCTCTTCCACTGACACACATCGACCAATTACGCACCAACCGGGAAACCGGGTAAAGATGACACCGACTCAGCCAGTCGTCGCCGCCACAGATGTTTCCAAAGTCAACCCATTACTACTCTCCTCTGCCCCTTCCCCTCTATCCTCTCATTCCTTTCTCGTCCTATCCGCCACCCTTCCCTCCCGTTCGCTCTCCCCCTCCTTCCTCCTCATCTCTCCCTCTCTCCACCAACTTCTCTCCCTCCTTTCCCCAACCCTTACCACTTGCCCCCCCTTCCCCCTTTCCTCGTGGCCCCTTTCCTTTTACCATCCTCCTTAAAATTTCAATGCTTCCTCCTCGACCTCTTCCTCTTACTTAACCCACTTCTCTGTCCTCTATCCCCTTCTCTCTTTTCTCCTTGTTTGCCTCCTCCCATTTCCCCTTCTCTCCTCCCCACCTCCTTCCCCGTTCCTCCTACTCCTCTCCTCCCTCCTTCCGTCTTCCCCTCTTCACTTCCTGTCACTTTTTCTCCCCTTCTTCCTCCTCTCCTCCTTTCTTCGTCTTTCCTCCTCCTCGCATCCTCTTCTCCCTCCTTTTCCTGTCTCCCTCTCCATCCCGCTAATATCCCCGTTCCTCTCCTCCTCCGCTCACCCCCCTCCTTCCTCCTTTCCTCTCTCATTCCGCCTCTCCTTGTATCCATCCTATCGCCCTCCTTCCTCCTGCCACCCTCTCCCGCCCCTCTCCTTCACCCTCTCTCTTCCCCTTCCTCCCCACCTCCTTCCTCTCCTCTCCTCCTCTCCTGCCGCCTCTCCGTATTCTTCCCCCTCAAATTCCCTCCTTCCTCCTGCCAAACTCTCTCCTCCCCCCATCCTTCCCCCTTCCTCTCCTCCTCCTTCCTCCCTCCTTCCTCCCCTCCTCCCTCCTTCCTCATCTCTACCGGAAATTTTCCTCTATTCTCGCAGAATCAAACGTGACCACACCTCCTCCACAGCCCCAAAACGAACACGCCTCCATCATCAGTAGCCAAACTGCCCCCATTTTTTTTTCCGTTTTGGTCTTTGTTTCGCGTTAAATGACTATTTGCACCAAGAAGAAGAGGAGAGAGAGAAGAGAGAGAGACGAGAGGAGAGCCGCGCCGAGAGCGAGACAGCGCGCGCGAGGGCGCGTGCCGCGATGCTCGCGCTCGCGAGCGCGCGCGGCGCGCGCGCGCGCTCTCGCGGCGCGCGCGTCGCGCGCGAACGCTCCACGTGCCTCCTCGAGCGACCCGCGGTCGTCGCGCTCGCCCCCCGCGCGCCCGCCCTCCCCCGCCCGCTCGCCCCGCACTCCAGCCCCCCCCCCCCCCCCCCCACCCCCTAAGCCACCCCCCCCCCCCCCCTCCCCCCGCCCGCCCCCCACCCCCCTCCTCCCCACACCCCGCCCTCCCCGCCTCAACCCCCACACAGTTCGACAACCGTTGCCCCGCCTCCCGCCCCCGTGACCCTTTCACCCAGCATCCATGACCCACCCGCCCAACCTCTGCCTGCCAGGAATACCACTCTACTCGTTACCCCCAAAACTCGATCACTCAACCCGTTCTGGAGACAGCCAGACTCGATACACCCAACTCGATTACCAGATACTCCGTAAACACCCTGCTCGAAAACCCATAAACAGAAAACACCCAACACGTAAACCCCAGACACGAAACACCCATCAACGTAACCCTCAGCCTCGAAACTCCCAACACTAAATCCCCATTCACTAAACACCCATCAGAATTACCCAGTCAGCCCCACAAGATCCAGTCCCAACCCTCCACCCCCACCACTACCACCCCGCCGCCGACAGACGACGGCCCCCCCTCGGCCCCCACCCCCGCTCCAGCAACAACCGCCGCCCTCGCCCACACCACTCCCACCCCGCCCCCAGAACCTCCAGCTCCAGCTCCAGCTGCAGGTATCACCAGTACCTCCCCCCCTCACCGACCGATAACGTACCAGCCACGCCTAACCCTACCAGCCACCTCCACAGCCAGGACCACGCCCCCCTCCCTGCTCGCGTCTGCAGCTCCAACAGCCACATGAATCAGCATCAGCACCACAGCCCCACCACTCCACCCCCCCGCCCCCCCCAACCTCACACCCAGCACCTCCTACAGCACCACCAGCACCAGCAGCATCATCCTCATCACCACCAAGCCCCCCCCACCCCCCCGAGGCAGCAGCCCCACCTCAATCACCACACCCACCAGCCCCACCACGGCCGACTATCACCTCCACCAGCTACACCCCCACCCGCCCGCCCCCGCCTCACCTGCAACCAGCACCACCTGAGCACCATCACACCACTCCCACCACCCACCACCATCACCCGCCAAGCACCCCCACTCACGCCCAGCACCCAGCACCACCCCACACGATGCACCCCACCCCACCACCCCCACCCACCACCACCCACCACCACCACCGTCCACCCCCACCCCGAAAACCCACATCACCACCCTTCACCACCGACCACAACCACCGACCCCCCCCACCACCCCTTACCACGATCACCATCACCACCACCACACCAACACCACCACCCCCCCCCATCACCATCACACACCGCCCATCAGCCACCCCCCCCACCACCACCCCACCTCCACAAACCTCCACCGCCCCGCCCACCTTCCCCTTCACCACCGCCGGCCCCGGCCCCCCTCCCCCCCCTCCCACGGAGCGACCCCTCAAAATCCCTATAATGCCCCAATAATCCCACAACATCAAACCCTACCACTAACACAACGAACACCACCCACACAAAACACTGGTCCTAAAACACCACTATCACCCAGCTTCCCGGCACAGCATCACCCCACCCCACCGCACCCCGCTGCTCTCCACAACCGCCCCTACTCCGCCCCCCTCCGAGACCCCAGTCTCCCCCTCACCCTCACCACACCCTCCCCGCCCCGCACCACCCCACCCCCGCCTCCCATGCACATCACCACCGTGCCGCACCGCCGAGGCGACCAACACCAACCAGCCCCCTACTAAACAAATAATTTGTTCACTCCTTTATTGGTTCATCATCGTCTGCAAGTGAATGCATTTCTACCACCTGAAGACATTCGGCAAGACACATCAGGTCCTTGCAACATTGGCAATAAAATCTGCAATGAATAAGCTGCAATAACATCGTCTAGGGAGAAAAAAAATATTTATCAGTGGTCATAAAAAATAAAACAGCTGAGAGTGCCCCGTTGCATAACCTCTTTGTTTTCATCTTTAATTGCACAGCTGCAACCTGCAATATGTTTTTTTATCTTTATTTATTTTTTGCTATATTGTTTGGTTAAATCTCTGCAACTTCTGTATGAAATTCTTTAATAAAATGCCCGATTGTGTATATTTTGTAATCTATGCTTTGCAAGATTTTTTCAAAATGGCTTTAAATTTATTCGATGCACTATGTTTGTTCTTTTTTAATGAATACATCTATCCAACACATATCATCACAGGGTCGCATTTAGTAAGTACATGGTGTAACACGTATTATGATCATCGCCAGGCTGATTATACAACCCCCCCCACCCAAATACAGTAACTACAGATAATGATAACGGCAATAAAGCTCATAATGATAATGTAGGTACTAGAAAATGATGATGATACATGAGTAGTACTCTGATGAGATAATAATACTACAACTAACACATATCGATACTAATACGAGTACTACCATAATAATAATAATATTAATGCTCATCAACACAAAACAAATCCTACGCTCCACAATCAAATCATGACCTGCTACTAAGAACGACAAGCCCGATTTAAGATTTCACAATATGCTCACGTACATCTGACTTAGTACATTCCATACCCCCCGCGTGCCCCCGGGGCGTGTGTGGCCACACCCTCGCACCCTCGCCCTCAATCGCCCCGTCTGAGTCGAATCGGTACCTGTCTATTGGGAGCTAGTGAGATTCCTAGAGCCCCCTCAAACACCACCCCGAGGTCCTTTAGTGGGTCGTGTGGCAAGGTTTGTTTTAGTGCCGGACCTGCCGGTTTCATTCAATGCACGAGGACTGACCTGTGGTTCGGAAACTTGGTCAGGGAGGGATTTTTATTTTACGATATCCTTGTACAAAACCCAATAAATGTAAGTACATACCCAATACACCCACACCGCATCTACCCTACATAACAAGATCGAATTAACAATAAATAACAATAACTACAGGACCGGCCATCGCAAACAACAACAGAAGCAACACAGCAACGCCACCCCACACACGCACCAACAAAAACAAAATCTTCTTCATTTGTCCCCGTCGGCGCTTGATAATGCCGATCACAAAAATCTATGACTACAGAACCGACACATGTTTTCGGCAAAATTACACAAAACTGACAGTTCCCCGTTTCTCCTACACCCAAACCCCAACCCCCACCCCCCCCACCAACCCCCACCTCCCACCTCCCCCCTTTCCCCGTTCCTTCTCGCCACCCTTAAACCCCACTCCCCTCCCCCTCCTCACCCCCCCCCCACCCCCCACCCCTCCCCCCCCCCCCCCCCTCAATCGCCACTCGTTCTCTTCTCCATTCCTCCCCCTCCCGCCCCCCTTTCCCCCCGTTTGCCGCACCCCTCTCCGCTCTTTATTTCCCCAACGCCCCTCTTTTCCTCTCTCCTCCTCGTCTCCTCCCCCCCCCCGTCACCTACGTACATACTTCCATCCCTTACTTCTCTTCCCCTCTTTCATTTCTCTACTTTCCTCTCTCCCCTCCCTTGTCCTTCGTCTCCTCCTCAATAACCATCTTTATTAACCACTGTGGTGATGTCCGTTCCTTCCTCTCTAGTCTCTCTCTGTCTCTCCCCCCCCATTTCTTCTCCCCCCCCCCCTTATACTACCCCTTTCCCTACGCTCTTCTTTCCTCTCCTTTCTCCTCTTCTCTTTCATATTCTCCCCTTCTCTTTTCTCATTCTTCTCTCGCCCTTCTCCACTTCTTTCTCCCTCTTCTTCTCCCTTTTTCTCCCCCCCCCCCTTCTCTCCTCCCCCTTCTTCCTCTTTTCTCCTTCCTTCCCCCACCCCCCCCCCCCCCCCCCCCCCTCTCTTTTCTTCTCCTTCCCCCCCCCCCGCCCCCCCTTCTTCCCCCCCCCCCCCCCCCCCCCCCCCCCCCCCCCCTTTCCTCTCTCCCCCCCTCACCTCCACCGGTGGGAAACCGGTCTAGAAAAAGACTTCGTGGTAATGGATGCTGAGAGAGAAGAGAGGAGATGGGCCCGGCTCAGCTCGCGCCCCCCCGCCACCACGGCCTCAGGACCGCGCGCGTCAGCGAGTCGCGAGCGAGCTCAGCTCCGAGGCGCGAGCGACGCTCTCGGCGCGGCCTCCCCCCCCGTGCGTCCCGCGGCGGCTCGCGTCCGCTGTCGCCGCAACGCGCATGCCCGAGTGCCTGGAGTCGCGCTCTCGCCCCCCCGCGGGCCCCCGCCCGCCCGCGGGGCGGCTGGGGCGCCAGCCGCCGCGCCGGCCGAGTCCCTTCTCAACGCTCGCTTGGCGTCTGGCTGCCTGCTGCGTCGCGGGGGCGGAAACTCTGGTCGGCGACTCGCGTCGTGCGGTGCGTGCGGGGCGGGCTTGTCTGGCGGGCTACTGGTCTTGGTATGTCGCTCGTTCGTCTGGCCGGCTCCGAGCGGCGCTCGGGAGTGTCGGCTGGTTGGAGGCTGCTCGCTGGTTCGGGCAGCGCCGTGATGGTTGGTGGAAGATGCTTCTCCGGCTTTACTCTGGGTGGGCTCCCGCCCGCTCCTCTCCTACGTTCTCCCTGCTTGTGCCACCCACGCTAGAGCACTCACTCACTCACTGAATGACACGAACGCCCAGAGCGACAGCCCGCCCCCCCCCCCCGGCGCCAAATAAACGACCCGCCTGTCTCACCCCACACCCGCTCACAGCCACCTGATACTCTCTCATAGAAAACCCAAGGCAAAAGTAGAGGACAATTCTCCCCTCCAATCCTAACCGTTTTGAGACTGACCGAAACCTACTGTACTATAACCTAAAACTCTCTGACAACAAACACCTAACTACTCACCACGCACACGGCTCCGGCCCTCACGTGCTTTCTTTCTCTTTTCCGCGGTCTGGTGTTATAAGACCTACAACTGATTTGACGTAACCGCCACCAAGATAAACCGTAACACACCCCCATCATAAGGCTCCCGAACCAAAGATAAAACCGCTGGGCGCGCCCCAAAAAACATAACGCCCCCCCCGCCCCCGCCCACCCCACCCCCCCGCACCCCCTCACCACCTTCCCCTCACCTCAAAAAACACAAGCAACCCCACCCCCACAAACCAAAAGCCCCCCCACCAAAACACAACAACACACAAACTTACAAAAACCAACCACACCCAACAACACCCCACCAAACACCCCACCACACAACAACAACTAAAAAAAACACCCACAAAACGACACAACACACCCAAAGCACATACACGACAAACACCAACAAACCGACGCCCAACCACACCACACAAGGGTTTATGAGGGAAATTTTAGATGCGCGTCTTCACATCCAGCAACAACCAACACACACACCACCCAAACACAACTAACAAACCCCTCCCACCTAAACACGGCCGGAGCCACCCACACCACTCCAACCCCCAAAACATCCAACCAACAAAAACACACCACCAACACGTACACGCAACAAAACAAACATCAAGACACACCCAAAACCACCACACAACGACACATCCATTACACCAGCAAAACACACTCAACAAAACACCAATAACCCTAAAAACCGTTGTTGCCAACCACACGCCCAACCACAAACCCACGAACAAACACACAATCACCCGACAAAAAACCGAACAAACACGACAAACATCAAACACAAAACACATACCCCAAAACCGCAAAGACCCCCACCCAAATAACAAAACAAACCACCAACTCGAAAATAAAACAACACACACCCCCACAACAAAAACACACAACACCAAACCACAGCACCCAACAAAAAAACCCAACAACCCCAAACAAAAACCTTACACATCATAACACAAAAACTACAACCAACCCAACACACCACCAAA